TTTAAGCAGGGGTCCACACGAGGGTCGGCACAGTACCTGAGGTACCTGAGCTGGGAACTCCTTCAGGACCTGATGAAAACACCACCTTAACTAGTCCAAGATCATGAAGCAGTGAGCTTTCATTTAACAAGGCGCTGAAAATGCCGTCTGATCTTGGTATGGATACGGCTGACCAGAGTAGCTTTCATGAGAATAGGTTGTTTGGAAAAATTTGACAAAAAGATCGCCAATTGCCTGTGAAAATCGTATCCTGCATCGAGATAGGTAACTTTTATAACATTGAGCGTTAATAACGGAGAAATTTGACCGAGCTATTACATAGCGATAGAGGGAAGATGGAGAACCAACTTCTAGATATTTTTTATAAAGTCTTGATTTTAAGTTTTTTACACTGGATAACTCTTTGGTAAACCAAGGAGGCTTCCCAAATCTAACCGTAAAGAAAGTGGGACACAAGAATCAAAAAATGTGTCAAGTACATTGTAAAAAATTGTTGTGCCTTTTATAACGTCAGTGCATAAGCACAGAGCGGACTAATCAAAATCCCTAATGAGGTTATTAAGTTTTGTAAACTCGGCTTTTAAGAAAGCAGCGGACAGACAGCCTACCCATTCGATCCAACACAGTAGGCCCAATATCGACCATGTAAGGAACCATGGTTTTAGCCATGGCTCGTCACAAACAGCGAAGTGTCAGCGAATCCACGCCGGTCGGGAAGAATACTCAAACTGATATACACAGAGCCAACGTACCATGGCTCTAGCCACAAATAGCGGCGTGTCAGCACCTCCGGGAAATAAAATAGTCTTAAGCAACGCACGCAATTACTAAAATTAAGAACTCTCGATCAACAACTCCACCCATTCTTGTCCACACATCAATTTAAAATAACCCACCTCTTGCATTATTTCGCAATCAGCAAAGACAGCACTGAAATCACAGTCACCCACTTCGCAACCACTTGGCCTCAAATTATCGACCCAAATTCAGCTAACACCTTTCGGGATGCGGAGTTAACAAAACCCAATCCTAAACCCAATCCCGATCTGCAGTCTCAGCAAAACACGTCCTCAACCCCACTGACCCTCTAACAATTGTCAACGAAGCACCAAGCTTCGACCCACTTACCACGCCCAACAATTATTGTCAGTCACCACGGAAACTCACGGTCTCAGGTGCGATCGCCAGCTGCATAAAAGGGCCAAGATAGGCCGAAGAAGTAGGCAGTCCATCAGCCCGAACCCAAGAGGCTGCACTATGCAGTCACAAACCCAAGACACTGCACTAGGCAGTCCATCAGCCCGAACACAAGACACTGCACTAGGCAGTCACAAACGCAAGACACTGCACTAGGCAGTCCACCAGCCCACAGCAAAACTAGCAAGACCAGCAGGTCTCGAATTGTAAACAAGTAAAACGAATAAAGGCATTAATAATAACCAAAACAACAGAAGACATCGCGTCATCAATTTTCCCACCTTGCTTACTGCTCTTTCGGTCACTTCCAGGCCAGCCCCGAAACCTTAAGTTCCAGCAGATCTAAAAATTTCTTGTAGGGGACCCTGGACAGGCTGATGCATATCCCAGCCTGAAATAGGTATCTTACAACCAACACTTCGAATGTAGGAAAGTAGGAGTCTTCTGGTATAGTGAGCGGAAGAGCTCGTGTTAGCAACGCTATGGTCGGATCCGAGACAAAGCACAGATCAAGCAATCATCCCAAGGAATTTTTCACATGGTTGACTTGAGACAGGGATAGGTCTAGCAAGCCGTCGATAATGGGCACAAGATTATTAGATTCGTTTACCGAAGACCAAACAGTACCTGGCATCATATGGAAACAATTTTTAAAGCGGACTAGTGATGCTCGTATATTAAGATATCCGAGGAAGGTGAAATATACGGGCAAGTAATGAAAATGGAAAAGCCTGGGTGAATCAGTTTTACGCACAAGAATTCCAGGTCTTGTTGAACCTGGACTATGAAATGTTCTGATGTGAAGTTTGAGTCCACTGCAAAGCCCTCCTCCAAGTCGAGACGAACGGTCATTTCTAAAGATTGTATACCGACCTGCCAAAACTTCAAAACTAGGGATGTCAGGCTTTAATCATGACTCGGTAAACACAATGACGTGCGACGAAAATGCGAGACTCTCCAGAAAAAGAGTGCTGAGCTTACTACGCAAGTCTCTAGCATTCTGGTAGGTAATTAAAAGGGAGGAAGTTAGTTTTTTGGATGGGGTGAAGTAGAGCGGGAAGATGAGGGTGGAGATGAAACACTGGTCTGACTACTGGGAAGAGCCTTCTTAGCCTTGTACTTTTTCACAGCCAAGTGCTCCGGCCAAAATTTGGAAGAGCAAATGGTTTCAAACTTAGTTGGGCAGACGCTTATTTTAAAGAAAGCTATCTCCCTGACATAAGAGAAATTAAACTTCTCGACCTTTAATCCATCGGCTTTTATTTTGCTTTGAATAACAGCCGTTACATCGTTAGATGTAAGGTAATGCCAAGCCGTGATACAAAAACTTGCCGCTTTGGGTGGACTTCTACCACCCAATGATGACAATATCCGGTGGTCCGGGACGTCTATATCTGGTGGGAGCCAAACTGATGGGATAGTTAAGGAGCTGGGTGCGGAGTGATAGACGGCAATAGCTACAACAAAGAGTGGCTAAATGTAATGAGAGGGCGTACTTACAAAAAGCAAAAACACAAACATACAACCAACCGACGCACAAAACCAATTAAATAAGTAGTGTGCTTACACAATTATTAGGCATGCACCCGCGACTAAGGATAGATTTTAGGTTAACGAATAACACTAGTCAACACGATTTTTCCTCAAGGAACAAAACGAACTTTTTCTTAAAGATTTGGGGCTTAGAAATGGTTTGATGATATTTTTTTTTTTTCTATGGCAGAACTTTTTTTTAAAGAATTTTTGAAAACTGGTATTTTTTTTTTAAGCTTTTTTCAGAGGTAGCGCTTGTTTTTTTCACATAACTCTAGTATCTTACGTCTAGTTATAAAGAACTTTGCTATTTTGAAAAGATAATTAAAACAGCTAGAAGTTAAGCCCAAACACTTTGTGATTACAGCTTACCGTCTGGGAAATATAAAGCATTGAAATGCAAAAATGATGATTTTTGTGCGGTATTTTTTACGAAATTTTGACTTTAAAAACTCAGGAAAAGTCGAAAAAAAATTATATCCTTTGTCCTCTATTTTTTTGTGTATAGGTGCATTAATTTGGCGTCGTTCCAGGTATCGCTCATTAAAATCTATGGAGAGACTTTGGAGCTAAAATTCGTTAACCAAACCTAAAATATGGAAAAAATGAACAAAAAATACCTTTTGGAAGGTTGCGGGCCCAACTGCCAATTGGGAACAAAGCAAACGAACAAGGGTTGTACATTTGGTACCTGATCGCGTTCCTTTGTTCCCAATGGGCAGTTGGGCTCAAAATAGCAAAGTTCTTTACAACCAGACGTAAGATACTAGAGTTATGTGAAAAAAACAAGCGCTTCCTCTGAAAAAATCTTTAAAAAAAAATACCAGACTTCAAAAATTCTTCAAAAAAAAGTTCTGCCATAGAAAAAAACCATAATTCTTTAAAAAATTTTAAATCTTCATATCTATCAGAAAAAGTCGGTTTGGATCCTTGAGGAAAAAAAAAGTTCGATTTTGTCGAGTAGTGTAATTAGGGAGTTAATTTGAAAATAAAACACTGGCTGATTAAATTAAATTAAATTAAAATGCGGGACTACGAAAAAGAACGAACGATGATCATGTTACTCAAGTTAGCAAAAACGCATGTAGGCTGGCCTGTGTCACAGTGACGAAAAAAACTTTTCACTTAGGATAGTATAGTTGTATTATATGGTAAAATAAACTCCACTGAATATGTTTCGTATTCACGGAAATTCGATTACTATCTAAAATCATAAAAAAAATAGCATTGGGTAAGCTGGGCTGAGCTCTATGAGGCAGAGCTCATACAGGCAGAAGTCATACCGCTTAGTCAGGCGTTTGAAGATTAAGCAAAACTGTTTATGAAGGAATACTTTTTAAAATTTCCTCTTCAAAAATCTTTCTAGAGGATAATGATCCGAAACACTCAGGAGAGCAGGCTAGGAATTGGGTTATATCTTTTTGCTATGTCCAGGTCAGTCCCTAGATCTCAATCTTACCGAAAACTTATGGAGGAATGTCAAATAAATTGTAGAAGCTTCAAATCCTTCAACCAATAATAATAAAATAAATAAAAATAATAATACTCCTTCAATAATCCTATTGAAGCGTTGTCAGGCCGTAATGAAAATAAAGTTAATTGAAAACTAAATATATATTCTCAGGAAACATGAAGAGACTTAAAAATAAGGGATAAATTACGTTTCGTTGTTTTTTTCGATTTTCTAAAAAATCACTAATGTTTCTATAAACAGCAGATTTCATGGATAGTTTTCTAAATTCATGAAAAACAAGAAAATGGAATGCAAATGCATCGAAGTTTTTTCATACCCGTACTCAAAAAAGAGTTAGATAACAGATGTAGCAAACATATGTAAAATTTTTTTTTCTAAAATTCTTAAAAATCATGTGCTCAAAAATGGTATATACTGACTGAGTACGGGTATAGGAAGAGTCGCGGCCCCAGAAGCGACTCACACGTTCCTACTCGTTTGTTTTCTATTTTTTACATTCCTGTCCATTCAAAAAATAATTACATATTAAATTTTGAATACTGAATGGAAGTGTCTCAAAAACAGTCCTGAAAGTGGCGAGGTGCGGCACTACTATTTCCATGACCGTAGCTGTATATACTGACTGAGTACCAGGTATAAAGGTATAGCCGCGGTATATGCGATTTCAACGTTGCTTTTCGTTTTCTTAGTAAAAATCTAAATTCATTAATATACTTAAAGTAGATATAGTAAAAAAATATTAATTTTTATATATAACTTATAATTATATAATAGATATATAATATTGTACACTTACCTCCTCGCAGAGAGCAAGCATTCGTCGCGTACTATCCAAAGACTAAAACAAACAATAAACGTTAATATCAGTCACAAAAAAGATGAAAAAATGTTAAATGTTTATCTTGAAAGCCTTGTAGAAGCTTTGTGTTGCCACTCCGTGTGGCTAATAAACAACAACACCGCCAAATATAATCTTTATGCTCCAATTTCCATCCACTTGGTAATACATTTATTTATTCAAGCATTACACTACAGTTATAAAGTCAGATTTATTAAATTATGTTGTCGTGCCGCCGTTTTCTTTTTACTCTCCTCTTCGGTCTACTTTTCAGTGATCGGCGACGCGACTTCGTCCCAATATTTACTCGTTTTTTAGAAATATCGATAGCAGGCTGATAAGTTTAAGGGTAGGAGCATGAAATATAGGAATTGAAATTTAAAATTTGAATTCGAATCAGCAGCCGAATATTTAATGAACCAGCAAAACCTTGATAGCAGCGTATCAAATTTCTGGACTCAAACTGTATCTCTAGCAGAGTTGTCATGGGTTGGCACGTACCACCTACTTTTAGTTTACTATGTATTTTAAGCATTGTATTGAAAATTGTCTGCTGATTTGGCGATTTAAGTTAATATTCTTCAAATTCGAAGTTATAAATTAGGTTTTAACTAAATTTTATAGTATTTTATCACACCTTATAAAAATCTATATTACAGGCCGTCTATCTATTTTTCTATCTTGGGCCATCAGCCATTCGGGTGATACAGGTGGATTACACTAGTCAACACTAGAATTAGGCTGTGACCCAAAAAAACTTTTTCTTATAGATTTCGGGGCTTACAAAATTTTTAACGAACTATGGATTTTTTTATGGTGTAGTTTTTTTTAAAGGATATTTTTAAAATCTGATATTTTTTTATTTTTTTTCAGAGGTAGTGCTTTTATTTTTCACATAACTTCCGTATCTTATGTCTGGTTGCATAGAACTTTGCAGTTCTGAAAAGCTGACAAAGCAGCTATAAATCCGACCCAGACCCTTTGTATCTGCTTAACGCCTGAAAGATATTAAGCTTTCAAATTCAAATTTAATCATTTTTTGAGGTATTTTTTTTTTTTTGGAATTTTGACTTTAAAAACTCGGGTAAAGTCGAAAAAAAATAATTCTTGGCCAACATTTTTGGTTTTAGATATACGCATTAATTAAGCGTCGTTTAAGGTATTGCTCATTATAATCTATGGATAAACGGTCAACTTGAAGCCATTTGACCAAAACGACTCAAAACTAATTTTACCTGAAAAATACCGTTGCTGGTCCAATGCCAAAGGAACACGTTCAGGTACAAAAAATTCAACCCCTTGTCGTTTGCTTAGTTTCAACCTCAACCTTCCAAAAAGTATTTTTTGTCTATTTTTTCACTTATGAGGTTTGTTTAACGAATTTTATCTCCACCGTTTGTCCATAGATTAATGAGCAATACCTTATACGACGCCTAAATAATGCGTCAATCTAAAACTAACGAGAAGGAACGTGTGAGTCGTTTCTGGGGACACGACTCTACTTATACCCGTACTCAGTCAGTATATACAGCTTATGATTTTTTAGAATTTTAGAAAAAAAAAAAATTTTACATTTTTTTGCTACATCTGCTATCTACATCTACATATACAATGTCTATTCTACATCTAACATGTAGATTGTACATGTTCCATTTAGATTCTACATCTCCTCCGCTAGGGGTTGCTCGCGCACTGAACGCGGCAGTGTGCGAGCGAGAAGGAAAATTAGTTGCGTTGTCGTTTAGGGAGGGGGGGCAGGGGAAGCAACTGAAAATTAATTTCGTCATTCTGGCTATAATTATGATCCGATCTGATTCAGATTCGGCAGTCTGGTAGATATGGGCATTCAGTTTTATCGTATCTTTAAAATTGTGGCTGCCACAGATTTTCGTCCTTTGTGGGGGCGGAAGGGGGCGGGGCGAAATTTTGAAATACACTTGTAGCAGTGTGATATCACATGAGACTGGAAACCAAATTTGGTTGCCCTAGCTCTTATAGTCTCTGAGATCCAGGCGTCAAACAAGACGGACAGACGGACAGACGGACGGTCAGACGGACAGACGGACAGACGGACAGACAGACATGGCTCTATCGACTCGGCTATTGATGCTGATCAAGAATATATATACTTTATGGGGTCGGAAACGTTTCCTTCTCTGCGTTACACACATCCACTTTTACCACAAATCTAATATACCCCTTAACTCTTTTTTGAGTACGGGTATAAAAATGCATGCCAAGAAATAGTTAAGCTGCAGATACAAGGGGTCTGGGTCGGATTTATAGCTGCATTTGTCAGCTTTTCAGAACTGCAAAGTTCTATGCAACCAGATATAAGATACTTAAGTTATGTTAAAAAGAAGCACTACCTCTGAAAAACCAAAAAATACCAGATTTTTAAAATTAAAAAAAAAATTACATCATAAAAAAAAAAATAAAGTACTATAAAAATTTTTAAATCCCGAAATCTATCAGAAAAAATCATTTTGGTTCACAGCCTAAAAAAAAGTTCAATTTTGTCGAGTAGTGTTATCGTATGGCGGGCTGTCTCGCCATAACTGAACACTCGGACTGTGGTTAAGGATGTCCCGGGCTAGGGCTTGCCCTGATCCGATGCGGCCTTGCCCTGATCCGATGCGGCCTTGCTCCTGGTTCTAGTATACGGGGTATTACCAGCGAACCGTCACCCGCCGTAACTGTACACACCGGTGGAAGTGCGACTATACTCTCCTCGTGAGGGTTGCTGGTAACAGGTCCTGGTCCGATAAAGTCTTTGCAATAGATGCTGGCTAATTGTAGTCAGGTGAAGAGAATAAACTCTCAATGAAATTACCCCAATCCTCGGTGAAGCAGTATATTATGGATTCATGGCCGGGGGGTGCTCGATCGAGAGTATGCGAACTCAGGATACCTGACTAATCCCTTCCCGCCTACTCGTAGAACCAAATATTCCAAAATCTCTAAGGATTAAAAACACCTTAAAGGAGCGCGATGCCGGAGGGACGAGACATTTGAAATTGTTTGATGATATTATTTTTCTATAGCAGAACCTTTTTTTTGATTTAAAAAAACTGGTATTTTTTAAAGCTTTATTCAGAGGTAACGCTTCTATTTTCACAAACCTTAAGTATCTTACAATTTGCCAAGTTTCAACTTTCTAGCATTTACGTGGAGGTTAATGCAAAAAAAAAAGGTCAGCTGCAAATCAGCGGGCATCCCAAAGAAAATCAACTCTGTTGTCTCTGAGGGAGAGTACCGAAAATAAGCAGTCCCGGACAGCAAGCGGTTGTTTGTGAAGCAGCAACACTGACGATGCGCTTGTGGTGCCGTCTCTCATAAGTAGCTCTCACGCTCTCATCCCTACACACTACCAGCCCTCAACATAACCCCCACACTCACCTCACACCGGACCGGACTAAGGTTTCATTCGATCCGTGCCGAGAGTCAGCCTGGCTGAGAGCCCGGTATAAAAACTAGCCCAGTCGTTAACGGAGAGCTTACGGCACCGGGTTTTGATGTTGCCTTATCCGAGCAACGAGAATCTCTGCCCGGACGCCCCTTCTGCCCCTTCTTTGCAAATCGTGGATATATATAATTAAAGCTAAGAAAATACAAAACGAGTCTGGCACGCCCCAACTACCAAAAGAGAGCAATCTCAAACAGGGAAAGGCAGTGGCCAAAAGGCCTGGCCTAACCCAAAACACAGCAGGGAAATCCTTGTCAATGAAAAGCACTGGGGCAAACCCAAAGGGGTTTTGGAGTGGGGGTGAATCGGCTCCCAAAACTGATATCTTGGCAGAGTGGCTATGCAATCCTGGGGCTGCTCTGCTTGCTGGTGAAGTTGCGGGGCGCGAGTTGCCATCGACCAGCGCTTTAGCCAAAATATTTACATATTCCGAAAAAAGGAGCGCTGCAACATCCTCCATCGGCAGAACGCCACTAAGATGTTCAGCCCCAGTTGATCACTGTCTAAAAAAAGTCAAATGGGCATCGAATGTGCTCCCAAACTTCGGCAAGGAAGCGACGAAGAAATATGTAAGTCCATCAGTCGAAAAGGCAGCGCTCGCAAGAGACATCTGGGCCAGCCCCAAAACGCTCACGAGTCCTGCCCAACATCTCCTTTGCGCAGATTGCCAAGGAAAGGACGCTAATCTGCGTCCTGGACAAAGCCAGCGCAGAGGCGAAGATACCCAGAAGTCAATGGAAGTTGGTGGATGCGGCACTGGCCAACCGCTGCTTCGAGCTTCTGGAAAAAGACCCTAAGCCACCTCCAGTCTGTAAGAATATGGGATGAGTGCTCCGTGCAGATGTACAAAGCAGCTTTAGCGCAAGTTGGAGAAGACTACCCCGGGGCAAAGTTCGTCGCTGTGGACTAGAGCGAAGTGCCCAGAAGACCAAGGGCGAGAATCTGGGTGCCCGCCTCAATGAAGGAGCTGGAACGCAGACCGTCAAAGTCGAGGCGACACAGGGCCACAAACCAAGCGGTTGTCGTCCTCAACAAGGAGTCGCTGGCCCCGATTGAGTCAGACAAGAATGAGCTGAATTTCAGTTTCAGCACGAGTCGATTGCAGCGGCCGAGGCGCGTTCTGTAGACAAGCCAGTCGAACAGGACGTTACCTCGGAGATCGAAGCACCAGATGACGAGCTGGGACCAGAACAGGACGGCTACTTAACAGACTCGACTCTCATGCGAGAATTCGAGGCGAAGTGTCACGGAAACGTCACCAATGACTCGGACGCCGACACAACAGTGGTGGAGATTGTTTCTAAGGATTTATCTGAGACTTCTGCATATCAATCTCACCCTTTTCTAAGCAGCAGAGCAGCGGAGCGGAGATAGTGGTTAGATGGTAAGAGACAAGGTCTGTGGATTAGCAACGAAGGACTACAATCTGATTGTAGCCCAAAATGAAGGTAAAATTTGTACCTGCATTCTGGCAAGAAAGCACCTAAATATCTTTCTGCTCCACAATTTTAGAAATGGCGACAACACGGCGGCT